AGAGAGAGAGAGAGACGCGACGTAGGTTCTCGTTAAAACCGGATACGGATCGCAAATTACGCAACTATCTGCAATGTCAGGAATTCGCGTCGCACCTGCGAAACGCGATGTCATCAGATGTCATCAGCGAAATTCTTTCGAGACGGACGTGCGCGCCTACGGAGAAGGAAGAATTCCGCTCGTGCCGCGGTGATTTTAACATTTCACTTCGCGCATTTGACACCGACGTGCGTTTTATCGCACTCTCGCGATATAACGCCCGTCGATTCCGGAAGGCGCGCACGTCGCGATGTAGGATGCAATTAATATACACGATAACAACGCCCCTCGATCGCCGGTCTCTCGTTAAATATAAACTGCAAGTTTACGCGCGGTGAATCAAGCGCGAGCGGGCATGTTTTCCTTTTCGTTGCGCCTCCTTCTCCATCCTCACCGGCGTTTCGTGTGTCCCTTCGCGCATAGAAAATAATAGATTTTTTTCGCGCAAGGAGCGTGCTCCGGATATACGATAAACGATAACGTCGCGCGTACACACGGCGGACGGGTATAAGCGTGAATCCAGAACAAAAGTGTGTTGCCACGAGGATCTCTCCCCTTCCTCTTCCGCGCCGAGAGAGCGTGGGGCCTTTTTGACGCTTACGGTATTCGAGACGGTATTACAGTAGTATTACGGTAATTGCGGTATTGCGGTAACGCGTAACTCCACCGAATAGAACGGTGAAATATCATCGGCGTCGAGAGCACCATTAGACGCCGTAGGTCGCGACTCGTGAAGAGATAGTGGAGAGAGAAGGAAAAAAAAAAAAAAAAAAGAGAGCCGAGAAACGTAACGGGGACACGACATTGTCGAAAAGAGCGCCGGGGCCAACGTCCGGCGGGCGGGGGGGGGAGCGATTTCTACGGGCGCGTTTTCCAGAATGGATCAATATGTATGGTAATGCGGTCTGTACAACATCAGCTACGTCGACCTACGTGCACCTATGTGTCCGTAACTGTATTATGTATGCGCGCGGTACGTAGTACGTGACTTCTCATATACTGTATAATAAACATGTTACGTCGCGGCCTACGGGGTACCTGTACACACGCGGTATCGTGGCCATGTGCAGACGTATTTATCCTATACGTCTATTAACATCGCCGAGGTATTAAGATAAGGGGTTCGTGTCAGCCAGTCAGCAGGTTTTGTTCACCAGGCGGGAACCAAGCGGGAACCAAGCGGGAACCAAGCGGCACAGCATGACAAAGCGAAAGATTTCTTTTAATTAGGGGATAAACATAAAAGCGTGTGAGCTTCAGCTTTCGTTATCCTCTGTCTACACGTCAGACACGTATATGAGTCTAGCTCTTATTCCTATTACCCTTAAATTGATTTTTATTTCGGTTATATTATTCTTAAATTAACGTAATATGCATTGAATTCGAGTTCGTAGATTTTTAATTCGGGATAAAGCGTAACAAAAATTGTCAGTATTAATATGTAATAATGTAAAAATAGAACGATTGATTTAATGAAGTTAAAAAATTAATTAATTCGTTATCGAATTAATTCGTTTCAAATATAGCAATTTTATTCGAATCTTTTTTAGGAAGTTATTTTCAAATCTCGCAGCTAAAACAAATATTTTTAAAATTTTATTTTATAGTTATAAATATTGAATTTATATGAATGAATTGATACGAATATCTTCTCAAATACGCAGCTGTACTAATATTAAAGCAATAAAAATTTATAAAGTATTAAACAGAAGAGATGGTCTGATATGATCATAAATACGATCCAGAACAGTACCATTTTACAGATAAGTTAGAGGAGGATTTAGTCGTATTGAACTTTTATGATGTATAGTCGAGACTGCAGACAATTAATAACAGGTGACATTTTCAGTACCATTGGGAACGATATTTGAAATCTACTTTAAAAAATGTCGCAGAATCGGTAAATTTAAAAAGTTAAAACCGCGCGTTGTAAAGGAAAATTTCAAGACATTTGCGGCTCACTGAATTATTCACAATGACACGACGCGTTCAATATTTATTTAAAACTTTCGTGAAAGCAAGAGCGAAGAATTATGAATGAATAAAGAAGAATTACACGAATTGTAACTTCTTCAGCATAAACTTGTATTATTTAAAATAAATAAAGTCAATTATTTAATTTTAATTAATTAATGTAGATTGTAATTAGCGCATTTATTTGTATAAAATTAATGTCACATTTTAAAAATTTTGATATTAAGAGATTTTCTTCTTCAGAAAGAGATAGAAAGAGAGAAAGAGAGAATTTTAAAATTTCTAGCACGTTTCACAAAGAATTCCGGACAACAATGAAATGTAACGTGACGATGAGATATTTAAATTAATTCTTTTTTTCTCTTTTTCTCTCCCTACGGGAACATTTAAAATATAATTCGGATTTTATTTGATTGATGGCAATAAAAGTCATCAGATGCATGTATTAGACGTTCATGTATGCGTGTGTGTGAAGTCTCATTTCGATTCTCAAAATGCATGGGAAAGTTAATTAGCCTATTCCGCGTTGGGCCCATAGGTGAAAAGTCTCCGACCGAGATATCCGGGCGCATATTTGTTTTTTTTCCTGTTTGTTTATGCCGGCATATAATGACAACGTCCGTTGAAATGGCAATCGATTAATTTTGACCTTAGGAGGCCAGATTTCTCGAATACGTATTGCGTGCGCCGATACACTGGTAATGAGCTATAAAAAGATCATAAATACCTTTGCATTGCGTACGAAATAAGATTTCATTACCGACCAAGAAATCTACCAATCGTTATCTTCTAAACAATATATATATATATATATGATAATATATGTAAAGGACATTTAAAATACATAAAAATTATCGATACGCGCAGCGAAGTATATCGCTAAATACTTATAAATATATCTTTCTTATTGCAAATAAGATAATGATATTGTTTCTTATTTTTTAATTGACGCTCTTAAGAGCCCGTGGAGACATAAAAAAATTCCGATCTCCAATAAAAAGATAAGCGCCGCTCGTCGCGGTCGCATTACGCTCACGTGAAGTTTTCTACGTAGACTCCGTGACTGACGCTCGGGGATATCCTTTTAGAACCGAAGAATGAAATCCGAACCGCTCGTGAGGAACGTGACAGCTGCTTTTAGATTCGCGACGTTACAAAAATAAATCTGTCCTTCTCGCGCTCGCGCGCGCGGCTGCATTCCCGGTAAGCCTTTGTGGTGTTAATGACGAACACCACGAGGAGGAGAAATTACACCGGGACATCTTTACGATCGAGGCACCGGTGCGCGCGGGACTGAAGATCAACGACATTGGCGAACACGGACACGCCGCACACATTACGAGATTTAATTAAAGTGCCCGATGTATTTATCAACCCTCCTTCTCGAGCAATACAATACGAA